TCTCTCCTATAGATATACTTTCTCTGGATAAACACATCCCATCTCATGGCTTTAAATACAACTCCCAAATGTGTATCTCCCAGACCTGAACTGATTGTACACACCCATCTACTTGACATCTCCACCTGGATGTCTCACAAGCATTTTAAACTTATACTCCAATCCAATCTACTGGTTCTCGTCCCAGCCTGCAACTCTGGTGGCCATCCTCATCTGCGTTTATGCCACCTCCCTCTTTCAAGTTCCTCAGAGGAAAACCCTGGAGTCATTTGGCCATCTTTTTCCTCTCGCATTTAATCCATCAGCAAGAGCTTTTCAGTCTACCTTCTAAACTATATCTAGAATTCATGGCAAATATGCTCTCTTCCCTGAGCTGGGACGTCCACATTCTGCAGCTGAACATCTGCAATTCTGATTCTAGGCATCTGGACTTGTACTGGGTCATAAACCATTGGCTTCCCTGGTTCTCAGACAATTGCATCACTGGCTTGTTCTGTTTCTCCAGCTTGCAGACAGCAGATACAGGGACTTCTTAGTCTCCTTTATCATCCCAGAAGTATTTAAAATGAAACAATTGGGAGCAAGATGGCGACGGGTCTGGAGTGAGCGTGCCAGAGGACAGAGTGAGCCTGAGAAGTGTGCGCTGTGCTGCCAGAGTACTATTTGCATTTCCAAGAGCAACAAAAAACAAATAAATCACTGATCAACTAATCTACAACGAAAAAAAGCAACTACAGTCTCGAGGTTTTAGGGCCGATGCAAAAGAAGATTCCTGAGAGTGCCGCAACCACGCCGGGAGACAAGCAGCCCAAGGCAACAAAGGCCAGGAAAGACGGCAGCGGCGACGCAGAGACAGAGAGGNAACTTATACTCCAATCCAATCTACTGGTTCTCGTCCCAGCCTGCAACTCTGGTGGCCATCCCTCTTTCAAGTTCCTCAGAAGGAAAACCCTGGAGTCATTTGGCCATCTTTTTCCTCTCACATTTAATCCATCAGCAAGAGCTTTTCAGTCTACCTTCTAAAATATATCTAGAATTCAGCCATTGCTATCTAGTTCAGGTCACTAACAGCACTCACCTGCATTATTCCATTAGCTTTTCAACTAGTCTACTACTATCTGTACTAAGTACAGTAAGCACATATATATTTTTTTTCTCTAATGCAATAAAATAGAAATTAATAATAAAAAGGTAGATAAACCTTACATTTTTTACAGCTTAATAATACTCCCCCAAGTGATAATTTGGTCAAAGAGGAAATTTTAAAAATACAATTTCAAATTAGAAAATAATAGAATTAGAAAAATAATAACAGTTAGAATACAGCATATTAAAATATATTAATACAGCCAAAGTAATTCTCAGCATTCAAGGCCTAATCATAAATGCTTTTGCATTCCAATTCTTTGGGGAAGCAGTGAAGAAGTTGCAAGTGTCAACTAATGACTGAATTGTTCAAACTGAGGTTACCAGAAGTAAGAAGGGTGGGGGGCAAGGGAGGAATCAGTAAAGGGCCATGAAAAATCATTACAATGTATAATGTTGAATATACTAATTATTATCCTGATTTGAGCAAAAAGTATTGCACACGGGTACTGGTATTCAACTCTGTACTCCACAGATATGTACAATCAACTATGTTTCAATAAAATAAAAATAAATAAATAAAGACTGAATTGTTCAAATCAGGGAATGGTGCAATGCAGAAGATGGGGGAGGGGGAGAGTTGCAGGAGGAGGGTGGTGGTTGCAGGTAACCATATCTCAGCAGTCGCTCGAGTAGGAAAGAAAGACCCTTACATGGCAGTCATATCAAAAGGCTTTCAAAAGAAAAGATAATTACAAACGTCACTAAATCCATAAAAATTAAGTTGCCACTCGCCTCCCCCTCAGCTCCATCTCCTAAACCCAATTTTGAAGGAGTTGAACAAAAGAACTGACCATACTCCTCTTTGCCCCCCCTCAGACCCAAGCTGAGGTTGTGGAGAAGAGGGGTAAGTAGTAGTAACCAACACTTACGTGGCACTTACCATCTGCTAGGTACTATTTTAACTACTTTATGTGTATTAATAGTGTAATTCTCATAAAAACCCTATGAGACAGATACTATTATTTTCCTCATTTTACAGATAAATTAAAGAGTCAATGACATGCTCAAGGTCACACAGCTAATAGGTGACAAGAAGTGAGCCTTGGGACCCAAGCAGTTCAATCCCAGGGCTCCTGTTCTTAACAACTCTGCAATCAGATTTGTGCCACACCAAATGAAAACAGATTGCTATTTTTATATTCTGTGAGACTGGATGTTTTAATTCCTGAAAAGGAGACTGTTTGTCAATACCTGGAAGTGAAGAAAAGCTGTGGTCGCAGAATTTTTGCTTAGGCAGTGGGATGTGTGATCAACAGAGCAAGCTCAGGGACAGTTGTGAAAGAATAAAGAGTTATTTTATGTGTTTTATTTTATTTTTATTCTACTGTCAAGTGTAGGTTGGGTGCTGTACCCCAAAGATATGTATAATCAGTTATGCTTCAATAAAAAAAGAGTAGGTTGGGATAATCTAGAAAAAATGGATAAATTACTAAATACATACAACCTACCAAGACTGAATCATGAAGAAACAGAAAATCCAAAGAGACCAGTAACAAGTATGGAGATTGAATCAGTAATCAACAGCCTCCAAGCAAAGAAAAGCCCTGGACCTGATGAATTCACCGGTGAATTCTACCAAACATTTGAAGAAGAATTAATGATAACCTTTCTCAAACTCTTCCAAAAAAATAAAATAAAGAGGAAGGAAGACATTCAGATTTATTTTATGAGGTCAGCATTACCCTGACAAACATGCTACAAAACAAAATTACAAACCAATATCCCTGATTAACCCAGCTGCAAAAATTAGCAAACTCAATTCAATAGTACATTAAAAGGATCCCACACCATAATCAAGTGAGATTTATCCCTGGGATGCAAAGATAGTTCAACACACACAAATCAGTAAATATGATACATTAACAGCATGAAGGATAAAAATCATGTGATAATCTTAACAAATGAAGAAAATGTATGCGGAAATGTCAACACCCTTTCATGATAAAAACTTTCAACAAATGAGTTATAGAGAGAATGTCCCTCAACATAATAAAGAACACTTATGACAAGTCCTAGCCAGCATCAGTCAGTGATGAAAAGTTGAAAGGTTTTTCTCTAAGATCAAGAAGAAGACAAGGATGCTCACTATGTCACTTTTGTTCAAAGTAGTACTGAAAGTTCTAGCTACAGCAACTAGGCGAGAGAAATAAGTAATATTAATAAAAATTGTAAAGAAAAAAGTAAAATTATTCCTGCTTGCAGATACATAATCCTATATGTAGAAAACCCTCAAGACTCTACACACACACACACACACAAAAAAAGTTAGTAGTATATGAATTCAGTAAAGTTGCAGGATACAAAGTCAACATACAAAAATCGGTCGAATTTCTACATACTAACAATGAACCATGATAAAGGAAATTGAGAAAACAATCCCATTTACAATAGCATAAAAAGAATAAAAGGCTTAGGAGTAAACTTAACCAAGGATGTTAAGCATGTGTACACTGAAACCTACAAAACACTGATGAAAGAAATTAAACAAGATACAAATAAGTGAAAAGACATCACATATTTATGGATTGGATAAATTAATATTTTTAAGATGTTGATACTACCCAAAGTGATCTGAAAATTCAATGCTATCATCATCAAAATCCCAATAGCATTTTTTACAAAAATAGAAAAAACAATAACAAAATTCATCTGGAACCAAAGAAGATCCAGAACAGCCAAAATGATCTTGGGAAAAGAAGAACAAAGCTGGAGGCCTCACACTTACTGATTTCAAAATATGTTACAAAGCTATAGAAACTAAAACACTATGGTACTGGCATAAAGAAATACATATAGGCCAAAGGAACAGAATAGAGAGTCCAGAAATAAACCTGCATATATATGGTCAATGAATCTTTGACAAGGGTACCAAGACCACATAATAGGGGAAGGATAATGTCTTCAGCAAATGGAGTTGTGAAAACTGGATATCCACATGCAAAAAAAAAAATTAAATTAGACCCCTACCTTGAACCAGACACAAAAATTAATTCAAAATGGATTAAAGACTTAACACAGGATCTAAACTGTGAAACTTTTAGAAGAAGCCAAAGAGGGAAAGCTTTTTGACTCTGGTCTTGGCAATTATTTCTTGCATATGAAACCAAAAGCACTGGCAATGAAAGCAAAAATGGACAAGTGAGACTACATAAAACTAAAAAGCTTCTGAACAGTAAAGGTAACAATAAACAGAATTAAAAGGCAATGTATGATATGGTAGAAAATATTTACAAACCGTATATCTGATAAGGGGTTAATATCCAGAATATATGAGGAATTCCTACAACTCAATAGCAAAAGCAAGAACAACAGCAAAACCACACAACCCAGTCAAAAAATAGGCAAAAGACATGAACAAACATTTCTACAAAATAGACATACAAATAGCCAACAGATATACTATAAGATAATCAACATCATTAATTATCAGGAAAATGTAAATCAATACTGCAATGAGATATCATCTCACACCTGTTAGCATGGCTGCTGTTGAAAAAACAAAAAATGTCCACTGTTGGTGAGGCTGCAGAGAAATTGGAAACCTTGTACCCTGTTGGTGGGAATGTAAAATGGTACAGCATCTACGGAAACAGTGTGAAAGTTCCACCCAAAGCCAAAAATACAACTACCACATGATCCAGCATATATACATTAATACTTCTGAGTGTGTATCTGAAAGAATTGAAATCACAATCTCAAAGAGATATCTGTACTCCCATGTTCATTGTAACATTATTCACAATAGCCAAGAAATGGATAAAGATAATGTGATATATACATACAATGGGATATTAATCAGCCTTAAAAAAGAAAAAAATCCTGCCATTTGTGACAACACAGATGAACTGGAGATAATTATGCTAAGTGACATAACATAGTCACAGAGGGCCAAAAACTTCATGATTCCACTAATGTGAGGTATCTAAAGTAGTCCAACTCATAGAAGCAGAGACTACAATAGTAGTTGACGGGACCTGGGAGTCAATGAAATGGGGGGTTGTTATTCAAAAGGTCTAAAGTTTCCATCAGACTCGATAAAGAAGTTCTAGGGACCTGCTGTACACGTAGTGTGACCAGTACTGGATTGTGCACTTCAAAGTTTGTTAAGAGGGTAGATCTCATGTTAAGTGTACTTACCACAAAAGAGTAGACTGTTAATAAACCTTTATATACAAATATTCCCCCTCCCATTTGCATTTTGTAGGTAATCAACAAAATAAAGAATCCTTTTTGAAGAATTCACCTTCTTAAGTTTGGATAAAATAATTATTTGTTTTTTAAATTTAGTATTCTTTATCTGTGTCACATATATATTACGCCATTTAATATACCAAAATTCCTGCAGAGTAGGAGAATCTGAGATTCAGGGGGGTTAATTGACATGATCAAAATTCCATCCCTAGAATAAAAAAAATGGATTTTTCACTAGGGATGTCTGATTGGAAAGACTGTGCTCTTTCCACCTTTCTACTAACCACAGAGGTTGGTGTAGAGTAGGTGGTCAAATGATATCAGCCTGTATTTTTCAAACTTCATTAAAGTCAAGTGAGCAGATAGCAGCAACCATTTGGCTCTGATCTAAAAATTTTTTTTAAAAACTATACCTAGAATATATTCAAGATGCTTACAGAAAAATCGTTGCTTACCTTTGAAGAAGAGTATTCATATCCTCCCCACAATATTATTCCTGCTGCCCCTAATGCAGCACTTTCACCAATTGTATGTACTAAATCCTCCTAGAAAAGAGAAGTGTCAGGAGTAGTTTCTGCCAAACCAAAGTTAGTCTTGATAATTCAATAACAATACTCAACTTATCAACTGTGGAAAAGAACGCATTAAATAATGTTATTTTTGTTTCTAAAACAAAGGATATAGCAGAATTGGAAAAGGTGATTCTGCTTTGGATTTTTACATTTATTTGATAAATATTTATGAATTTCCAGGCAATGAAATAGATTCCAGTACCTTCTTTGAAGGAGTGCTTTAGTGTGATGGTTGACACAGCCATATACAAACATGGAATTACTATATAATAAATTAATTTCTGTATTAGTAGCACCCACAAGGCATATATAGATTAGAAGATGCTTAAGAGTGAACAGAAGAGTCTGGCTAGGCTTCCTTGAACAGGTGCAATTTCAAATGGGTCTTTGAGGATGTGAATTGTCAAGGCAGACTAGAAAGAGCAGAGTTTTATGTCCAGAAGGAAGAACAAGAAGCAGAGGCTCACATGCAGGCAAGAGCACGGTCCAATCAGAGAACTACTGGTAACTAACTCCTTGTCATAAAGTACATGGCATTTGGGGAGAAGTGAAAGTACATGAATCCTTATATATAAGCAGAATCCAAATAGAAAGAAAAATGTTATTTTAAAGTATTAGGACTTGACCACAAATTTTTTTTTAGTACTGGAAACACAAATTTGCAACTTTGAATTGAAAGATATTTTTGACTGTCATGTAAAGAATGCAATTGGAGGGGGAGGTCAATATGTTGTAGGCAGGGACACCAATTGGAAGAAATTGTTCAGTAAGAAATGATGAGCCCTTAGCAAAAGCAATGTTAATCCTTATAAAGAAGAGGAGACAGACGGAAGAGTTATTTGGAAATAAAGATGGATACATCTTAGTTCCCTGACAGATAATAAATAGAGAAACAGGGAGGCATCCAAATGACTCTTAAGTTGGGTGATTAAGGAGATCATAATTCACCAAGATAAGAGGCCGGCCCGGTGGCGCACTGCTACAGTGCGCCGCTTGGGAGAGCAGTGGTGCTCCCGCCGAGAGTTCGGATCCCACATACAGACCGGTTCCCACTCACTGGCTGAGCGGGGTGCAGGTGCAACACCGAGCGTTGCAATCCCGTTGCCGGTCCCAGTCTGGTACGGGCGTGACACTGAGGGTTGCGATCCATTGCCGGACACGAAAAAAGACAAAAAGGAAAAAAATAAATAAATAAATAAATAAAATAAAAAATAATAATAATTCACCAAGATAAGAAATAAGAAGGGTATGTTCATGATTTAGCCCAAGGGCCAAGAAGCAGGAAATAGGGAGAGTTGGAAGATAGAGGAGATGTCTGATGGAGCAATCTGCATTCCTTCCTCATCTACAAGGAGTAGACAGTCAGAGATCCCGTGCAAAGGTGGAGTGCTCAAGGACTGCAGTAGGTAAATGGCCATGCCACAGCAAGCTTCCTTCTTTAGAGGAAGGTCCCAGTAATACTAGTACATGTGTTCTACAATTTGTCTAATTAATACAAGAAAGAGGGCCGGCCCGGTGGCGCACTGGAGAGTGAGCCGTCTGGGAGTGTGGCGGCGCTCCTGCCGAGGGTTCGGATCCCATGTGGAGACCAGTTCCCGCTCACTGGTTGAGCGAGGTGCGGATGCAACACTGAGGGTTGCGATCCCGTTGCCGGTCCCCGGTGTGGGCGTGACACCGAGGGTTGCGATCCCATTACCGGTCAGTAAAAAAGACAAAAAGGGAAAAAAAAATACAAGAAAGAAAATTGTTCATTCATTTTACTAACTACTATCACATTCTTTAAAAATAAATCAATTCTCTTATTTAAATACAAAAACTTCTTAAAGAAAATGCTAAGCAGTTACCCCCCCCAGAAAAAAAATCACATTGAAGATTATGTAGACAATAGGTCAGAAAAACACATACTGTTTGTTGATATGTGGAAAATGGAGAGCAATAGGAAAGCGTTAAAACACTTAATATAATAATTCCATACTTTGGGGGTAGTAGAGTATGCAGTCTATTGATTTCTGAAGTAGAGCTCAGAGATGATATTTAGCCCATAATTTACTTCAAATGTCTAACAGTACAAAAAATAGGAAAGCAATGACCAAGACTTTCATGAAGATGTGGCTCATCTCCCTCTCCTGTCTTCTACCAAGATAACTGACTGCATGGATTACTATTATTTTCTACTGTTATTGTAATAACATATTATTCCTGACATGTTCTAGGCACTCAGTAAATAATTTTTGAATGAATAAATGTAAGCTAGTTCTTTTTCCCAAAGGGATTTGAGAAAGGGACATGATTTGAGAGATCTGTTACTTGAGGAATACCTTAGTGAGAAGTCTTTGGTAGTCATGACTGATGTCTTAAAATATCCAGAGAACTGGTTTTTCGAAAAAGAATTTGATTTATTCTACGTTGCACCAGAAGATAGAATTAGAACTAGTGGTGTGAAGTTATCCAGAGACAATGTAGCTTTGACATACTCCAGAGCTTTCTAAGAATTAATATTGTCCCAAATGGCACTTTTCCTTCTGATGTAGGAAATGCCCCATCAAAAAGTGCTAAAGCACTGGTCAGGTAAGAAAGGATTCACGTTTGGGTGGGAGGAGGATTAGAGACCTCTGAGATTTCTCCAATTTTTGGCCATGATGCTATAATTCTTTTCCTCCTGAACTTATTAAATGAAACCCCATTTTGAATAATACTTAGTAATCCTGCAATGATGAGAATATCAGGTAAAATCAATAATATTTGGAGCAATAGATTTTTTTCTAAAATATTTTTAAAAGAATTGCTACCTCTTTTAAATGTCCTCATCTAAAACATAAGTGGTCTAAGAAAGTGAGCTGTGTATTACATATTTAACAGCCCTGCTTGTCTGCTGGGTACTGGAATAAATAATTCTTGGCTCTCAGGTGTGGATGGAGATGTAAGGATTTTCCTATCTGACGACCCATCCAATGATTGCGTCCTGATGATAATGTCCAATGTCCTAAGTGACAATTCAGCTAAAGCTTGAACATTTTCAGTGTCTGCAAACTCATTATCTTCCGACAAAGCTCATCTCTCATCTCTGTGCTGCCTGCTTTGTGTTAATTCTAAAGACAATATTTGTCTGTATATATAAAACACTTTTAATGCCTTAACACTAACCACTAGATGGAACAGTTAAGTTTTAAAGAGAAAAATCAACAGAATCTATGTTATTTTTTCAGTTAATCTAATCAACTAATGCAAAAAAAATCAATCTAAAGAAAAACACAGTTGTTTAATAATTTACCTCAAACTCTTTTTTGTTTGTTTCTCATTTGGAATTGCTGCTATGTTTTTATGTTATTTATTTATTTACTTTGGGGGGGCTGGCTGGTACAGTGATCCGAACCCTTAACCTTGGCGTTATCAGCACCATGCTCTCTCCCAAGTGAGCCTACTGGCCAGTCCATATGCTTATATATTAAGGAGCTGAATCTATAATTTCTCCGTGGTTAAAATTAATCTATCTGTTATATTATTTAACTCAAGTTTAAAAACTGTTATGCAGGGAATTCCCGTGAATGCTAAGCTGGTAAAAATTATCATTCAAAAACTATTATTAAGGGAGAATAAATATCCTAAATCATTTCTTTATAGACTTTATATATCATTCTACCAAATTTCCATTTTTTATGTAACTGTACTTTTTCTTACCTGTGACAGAGCTTCCATACCGTGTAAATAAAATGGTCTGGAAAAAATAAAAACCGGTAAAACATAGTCATTTCTAGCCATTTCAGCAATTCTCATGGCTTCTCTAACTCAATAATGAACAAATTTCAAAGCTTTTAAACTTGACTTCAATATTTTATCCAAATATATTGAAGGATAAAGTGCCATGCTTTTATCCCACAGCCACAGGAGTTGGTCATTGCGGAAAATTTCCTCATTTGGGCAATTACCTGTGTAGCTCTCTGGATTTATCCTGTAATCATAATTGTAGCAATCTGGGTAAAGATAGAAGCCCCACAGACGTTTTGGTCTCATTTCCAAAGCTAGCCTGAGGGTAATGTTCATAAAATTCCTGCCAGCATGTTCGAATTCCTGCTGGGCAACTGTTTTCACTTTCCTTTCTGACCAATCAGGATGGAGGTTTCTAGTGAAGGCTAAGGAGTGATTTTTATACATGATTCTGCTGCCCCAATTTCTGTCCCATTATGGTTTCCAACTTTGCCAGTCAATAACGACAAGTCCTTCTGATCGCCACACAGGGACAGCTTTTGCAATGTCATCGGCAGTTTTCCTAAGGTGTTTAGAAAGGCTCATATTCTGGGGTATCCCTCCATTAAAGGATGTTCCATCTTGAGAGAAATAAGGGTAATACCCTAATTCATCTGGATAAAAAAATGGCAATTGTCGATCCACTCTGAGTCGCTAAAGGTTTTGATAGAGTGTTAAATACTTGAAGATTCTATTATCGATCCACTCTGAGTCACTAAAGGATTTGATAGAATGTTAAATACTTGAAGATTCTTGTTCACATTGAAGAAATTTTGACAATTCATTGTTGGGGCGGCCCAGAAGATGTTGAAAGGCTGGTTCTTGAGCACTGGAGGCATTGCAGGCTTGAGGGCTGGCTGAGTACACACGACAGAGAGCAGCAGCTCTCCTAAGCGGGCCAGCCACAGGTGACGCATGGCCTGTAGTTTTCAGCACTGTAGGAGTCTCCTTAAAAGTAAGAAGGAGCAAAATTGTACATGATGAAGTCAAATGTCACTTTAGTTGTACAGTACATAATAAATATAACTTATTGTCTAAATTGGGACAGTTTTGAGAATTGAAATGTGCACCAACACTCACACTAGGCCAATGGGAGTAAACTGTGACTGTCCTCAGGAAACCAGAAGTCTGGTCACTCTATAGACAGATGTGAGGCGATTACATTTTAAAGTCTAAGTTTGTAAAAAGACTTATGAAGTTTATCAATACTTAGGCCTAATTTATAGTTTCTTCTAAACCAGGGAAAAAGATGAGTTTTTTGTTTGTTTTTTTTGTTTGTTTCTTTTACTTAAAATTAGAAGAAAAAATTCAGTGAATAAAAACTTTCACACAGGTCTTCAGCTGTGCAAACTGCACCTGCTAGCCATTCTCTTTTTAATTTTCTGTAACTCTGAATACACTAACCCAAACCATCCTGTACTGACAAGCTTTTGGCTGTAAGGGAAAGTTGGAAAGAAAGTCTGAATAGATTGCTACATCTCTTTATTGATTACTGGAAAAGTGACTTCTAGAACATGCCCCATTTAAAATTAACACACACTGACATTTTTAACAAATATCAAGTAGAATGAAAAGTAATAAACTGTAGTAACAGTAGGTAATACCTTGTATATACTTTCAAATGCACTGGCTTCAAAAGTTTGTTCACATATTTGTTTTTAAAACAGAGAGCAGTTACCCTTGGAACTAGTACAGACAAAAATACGAAACAGGTACAGATAGAAATTACCTGTTGTTTATTATGGCTTCTGGTGCTATCATCTTCTCTCTGGTACATCAATAAGCCTCAAGTCCTGTTAGAGCTTTAATTCTATGGTTTCCCATGAAGAAATTAAACTGTATTTTCACAGTTAAATTCCAAATGAATCCTGGCTCTTGAGTCCCTTCTAAACTAGTCAGTTGGGACAAAAACTGCCAAAGAATCTTCCCTGAATATAAGGACTGTCTAATAGTTTCTGCATTCTAGCCAATGAGATCTCACCCTGAAAGCAATATGAAGTTGTGCATTAAAATTAATTTACATATATTTTTAAGATAAAGAAATCACAGATATTTCTATGATGTAATTAAACTCAGACTTTTTTTAAGTGTTGCACATTACTGTACTACTTCTGTAGTTCTTGCTGTCTTTATTTAATACATTAAATGCTGGGAAAGTCATGAACCAAAATTACATATCAACTGTCAAAATACAGTGCCCCAGGTCTGTAAACAAACAAGTGACAGGCTCTGTATACATTGAATTTTTTAATCAACAAATGTGAATGATAATTTACTCTTTAAAATAAATTGGATTTTATTGAGACAATTGACTGTGTGAAATTTATATTGTGGCACTAGATGAATCTCTAAGTCATGAGAGACAGCTCCACTCCCTACACTTTTATCCAACTCTGGGATATTAATATGACTCTTGCCCCTCTCTCCAAAAAAAGGAAGAGTAAACCTTTTTCTTCATCTTCGTCTGTTGTTCAGGGGAATGTAAGAGTGCCCACTCTGCATAAATATTATTCTTTGCCTCCCTCATGTCATGACTGCACATATTGGGTACATCCTTGGTAAACAACCTTTGTTAAACATCATATCACATTAAACTATCTAGAGACAAAGAGGCTAAAATTCCAAAATACTGTGCTTTAGTAAAATCCAGTTACAGGTTTCTTTTTCTAGGAGATTTTAATCATGTTTTCTGTATGTATAAATGATACACAATCTATCTTTGTCACGAGCCTATGTAAAACTTATTATATATAGCATTATGTCAGTCCCCAGTAGGCATTTTATAACAAATTTCTACTACCATCAAGAAATTATGCATTATGAGTCATGTCAATTTTTAAATATAATGAATTTTTTCCACACATGCTTGCTAAGATTTTATTCTTTTTTCTAGCCATTTTTGTTATTCAACGTATACAAGTAGATATTGTAGACAGCATATAGTTGTGCCTTGCTTTTTAAATGCGGTCTGACAATTGCTGCCTTTTAACTGGTCTATTTAGTACATTTGGCACATAATGTAATTATTGGTATAGTTGATTTTAACCAGGGATTTATTTTTTTCTATTTTTTAAGTTTACTTATTTATTAAAACTACTATTTTTTTTTCTTTTTTACATTCTATGATGTTGTTGTGGAGCAGTTTGGGGAAGGGGTAGAGGGGAAAGGGGAAGGAAATAAGGTGGGAGAAGGAGGAAGGAGGAGGGGTGGGTTTGAGGTCGGGGGAACCCCCCTCATTCATGCATGGGAGACCAGGCAGCTTCCAGTGATGGCCTTGTCATTGCTGGGCTGGGTGCAGATGTCAGGTGGGTATGGCTAAAACCCTTGCTCCCCACCGCCTCAGCTCAGGAGCCCAGTGCGCTTCCTGCAGTGGCTCAGCAGTTATCGCTGGGCTGGTGGCAGGTGTCGGGGGCATAGCCAAGGCTCTCAGCCCCCCTTGCCCTGTCTTGGCTTGGGAGAGCCTGAGGCACTTCCTGCAGAGGCTTGGTGGTCATTGCTGGGTTGGTTGCAGGTGTCAGGGGGGTGTGGCTGAGACCCTCAGCCCTCCCCCTTCCCTGGCTTGGTAGCCCAGGGGACTTCCAGTCCTTCTAGGTTTTATAGATGTTTTTTGGTGATGAGAGACCTTTGCTAGTTAATATCAAAATTTGTCTCTGGTCTATGGGTATTTTGTTTTTTTCTTTCTGTTCTGTGTTGAATTATTTGCTGTTCCTATCACTTAAACTCTACACTGGAACTAATTTATTGTCCTCTGCTTAATTCTAAAACGGGGGAACTTCCTGTGGGGACCAGTACTTGAGCTGTGTGGTTGAGCTAAATTGTTGCTTTGCTGCTGTTTCCCTAGGGAAGGCTTTCTGTGAAGCTCAGGTTTTCATGGTTGACTTTACAGGTGCTTCCAGGACTCATGAGAACTTGGGTCTGGGCCTGAGTCTTTTCAGGAAACTGCACACCACCTGCCCTTCTATATTCCTGACCAGTCTCCACTGAGTGGTCCTGTGCTGAGTGGGGGCATATGGGCTGTCCTTACTGTGTCTCAGTGTTCTCCCAGTGGGCCAGTCTCCCCTACCACACATTCTCCAAACACTTCTCATGGGATGGGCCATGTGCTGGTCCCTTGCAATGACTCACTGGCCTCCGAGTCACTCCTTTTTTTCAGTTGTTTTGGCTCCTCACTCCTATGTGGGTCCCTGGGCACCCTATTAGTAGTCTTGCTGGCCTGGGAGCCACCAAGACCCTCTTCTCCCCTGCCACCTCCACGCAACTTCATCTGCAGGGCACAGATGCACTTTTTGCCAGCTCCTCCTCCATGCCCTCACCAGGGCCAGCCTTGAAGTGGCTGGGGCTTGAAAAGGTCAGAGCGCTTCTTTCTTCCTCTCATCATGGCATCTCCCACCTTCATGCACTCTGTACATCTCTCCTCCTCTTCCCCTGAGTTCTAGTGGCCCCAGCTTTGCTGTCATTGCTTTTCAGTAGTTGTAAATTGGCTGGTTTGTGGCACAGAGTGACACTGAGGACTGTCTGTTCTGCCATCTTGACTGGAAACCCTTAACCAGTGATATTGCTACTTATTTTCATTTTGTATCTTCCCTTTTTTTATTAATTTATTGTGCCTTTTTGCCTTCTTTGGGGCTGATTGAATTTTTTTCTTGTTCCACTTTATTTTTATCTACTAGCTTCTAAATTATGCCTCTTTTTATGATGTTGTTAGTGGTTGTTCTGGAACTAACAATATGATTACTTAGATTATCAATGACTATTCACAGTCAATAGTGTTTGTATTCACACTTCACATTTCATACCTAACATTTTTGCTTCTACTTTTCAGTTCTCACTTCCCACTTCACGTTTTACACTCCACACTTCACAAATATACTGAAAGAAAGTGAGCCAAGATGTCGGGTACCATTCAAGCTCTATTAAAGGAAAAGAATCGACCAGACTGTGCCCAAAGTGTGGGGCAGCAGGTGGCTGGGTATTAGTTTCATATGGGGAGGCTGTATTCCTCCAGAGAAGGGTCGCTGATTCTGAGGCTGATATCCTCTTCGCAGGAACAATTCAGCGACCCTTTGGTTGGAGAAAGCCTGTATTCATTCCTGCAAGAAATTAGAGCAACACAAAAAGTGACAGGGATCAAAAAGTAGGCTGAGTCCCAGCACAGTTAGGGGTCCTAGTAGGAGCATAAGCCAGGGTATCCAAGGGCTCAGTGGCTGTGGCCACCCCCCAAGTGTGTTTGTGTTTTGTAACCATTTGCATCAGTAATCAATACTTGCTTTTTAATGGTTTAAGCTGTTTTGGATCACCCTGGTCTCATTTACATAGTAACATCATTCCTCCCCCAAGATGAGGCAGGTGCCTTCCTTCTTGGCTGTAAGGAATTGAAGGACAGTCACAAGGACTGTTGTGAGTGAGGTGACCTGTCACTGGGGGGAGGAGATGCTATATAAACTTAGTCCTTCTCAGAGTTTTTGATAGAATTGAGAGGCAGTAGCAGGGCCTGCTATGCCAGTCCCAGTTGCAGGAAGGATCCCTGCCCCAATTAGAAGGTACAATTACTGCCCTATGGGAGAGGGGTTCACTTCCTGAGGCGGGGCCCAGTCCCGTCTCCATCCCTCTGTCTGTCTGGAGGGTGATGTCCGAATGAGCCAAACAAATATGAAAGAAATCGCGTCAGGTGGCAGGCAACAGGATAACATAGTTTTACAAAGGAAATATATTCCGGTTTTAGGGCATGGGTGAGGAGGGGGTAAGTGAGTGGTAGCGTTCGGTGTTAGTGAGGCAGAGTGTGGGCAGGCCCCGCACAAGGATGACAGTCCCCACTGAGGTGAGATCAGAGGAAAGTGAAGAGACATTTGTGGAAACGTTGCCAGCTACTCCAACAGGGAGAGGGGTGACCACAAAAAGTTTCTCGCAAAGTGGAAGA